GAGAGTGTTTAAGCTAAAGCCTTGAGTGGCAGTGGTTGAACCACTCCACTCACAATGTCCAAACTAACCACTCTACTAACACATTGATCTAAGGGCTGAAATTCAAGCACCCATCATTCACATCCAAGATCAATGGCCAAGATTAGTTCTAACACAAAATATCTAGGGGAACTTGGGGATTGAGCAAGAGTGGTGGGGGCATTATGGTCCAAGGATTTTCGGCCACTAGGGGGTTGATCTAGACCAAAATTAACCCTCCAATTTTCGGAATTAAAGCTTAGGGTCCAAGGGCAAAACGGTAATTTTCCACTTCCGGTCCGAAATTTCATTTTTCGATCATACCGATCCCAAATATGATTGGCCACACTAATACGATGTCGTCCTAGCAAATAGTTGCGTACGTCCGTGAAATTCGACACCCAAGTCCGGATTCAATTCCACGATCAATTTCGCTCAAATGCGATTTTAGCGTCTCTTACTAATGGGCAGCTATTAGGAGTTACGCGTATCGACTTAGGATTACTCGAGTCATAACGGTCTCGATTTCCAAGAGAACGCGAGGATTTATCGCTACTTCCGGAGGTTGCAATCATTCGGAATAAGTTTAGGATTGTTCGCCACGCGTACTCTCGGTCATGCGGAATCATTCGCGATTCGATCGTACGTCGTTGGCCAAACCAAATCCGTCACCCTCCTTGGGTCGACCCACATTGGCCCAAAATATTCCCTCGTCATTCCTCGGAATCGGAGCTCGATTCACGGTCGAGTTCTTGGGTCCACGTACCATTTTCCTAGTTAGCCATTCTCTATCAGTCAGTATCCCGAGAATGATCAGTTCCGGGCGAGACTTACTAAAATGAAATGAGAAATACATATCCATTTCGTTGATCATGAAAGTGGATCGAATTCAGGATATTACAGGAGTCTGATCCTGAGCCGGAGCCGATGGAACTGGAGTCAGAGCCGGAGGATGATCCCGAGGAGGACCCATGGGAGGTCGAGTCCAAGCCAGAGTCTATGGATTCTGAGTCCGTGTCGTCCTATGATTCATCCAAGTCTTCGGGATCCGACCCAGATTGGTTACCCTAGGGTTTAGCCTTGAACATAGTTAGGTAGGGCCGACACTTTTTGGAATGAGCCCTTCTTAGATCTAGTACCTGACCGCCCGAGCCACGTACCCCTTTTTGATGTTAGTGGCTTGCTGACCCGTTTTGGCTTATGTATATTTCTGTTTCAAATGGATATTGTAAATCCTCCCTTGTTTAATGTAAGTATGTGTTTATGATATTTGTTACTACCTTGGTCATGTTTTAATTATGTACGGGTGTTTGATCGTTTCCACATGTGTATTGTTCTCTGATTTGGGTTTTGGGTCGGCAACACATCCTGGGATGTCGCACCAATACGACCGAAGAGGGACGTTGCATGCCGTAGGGTTCGGGGCGTGACACTTTGTGTTTAGAAGGACTCGTGTTGATGTATTGCGCTTGATTATGTGATGAAATCGTGAGGCACAGTATGGGACGGGCCAAAACGGTTTCACCTTATATTCGAGACTTGTGTGGATGATTGGAACATGTCTGGATTATTATTGTTGTTAGGTATGTTGATATCATGCCATGATTGTTATGCATTTTAAGATCGTGTGATATGGTGTTATCGTTGGGTGTCCATTAGAACGTTTGTTATGAATTGGACGCTGGTTGTGCCAAGGAAGGTTATTGTTATTGATTTGCCATGTTAATTAGGATTGCATGATTAGGGTGTTCCGAAGGTACGTGTTACTCTAGTCGGGGTTTAGGTAGTTTACTTATTGAGATTTATTTTCATTGTTGCAATTAAACCTTTCAGACCCTCGACCTTGACTATGACTGATCCTCCGCAACGTTTTGGGGTACCTATGGATATGGAACATTGGTTGACGGAGTACCTGGCAGGTGGTGATAGGGAGTATATTAGACATGCTAGTACAGTTTGGGTCGACAAGGGTGATAAGTTTTGTAAACCTCATACCTATATGGCGTGGTTCTTGAGAGATGGAGATCATACCTTTGGTCCTCTCCGTGGGTTTGACATCTCCCCTGACGATGGATTAGGAGAGTGGGATCTCATGGAGATTGCTCTTCCTGACGGAGCTGTTGCTAATCCAGATTCTGAACCGGAGATTTCGAAACCCGAGATGGTGTCCATGGAGACAGATCTTGAACCGGAGTCTTTGCCATTAGGTTCTTTTAGTGAGATATCTGACCCAACCTCACCGGGGTCACTGCCAGGAAACTGTGGGGGTTTTTTATAGCGTGAGAAACCCTATCTTTTTAGGACTCCTCTTTTGAGTACAGTAGTGAAGCAGATCGACCTCCTGATCCCTTTTTGAGTACGAGTGGTCTGGGTTGTGGCCTTTAGGAAGGCTTGTATTTGTTATCCTTGTAAGTGTCGTTATGTTTATAAAGTGGTTCATTGTTCTGTTTCATTTGTCTCTTTACTATCCCATTTAAATGAATGTTGAATGGAGTGTTCGAGTTGCTTCCGCATGTGTTACTCTTAGTTCGTTTGTATGGGTCGGTGACTAGTCCTGGGACGTCGCATACTTAACAACCAAGCGGGATGTTGCTAGCTCGTAGGGTGTGGGGCTTAACATCCCCGTTTAATTGGTATCAGAGCTGACTTCCGACCGCGTGTGGGGCCACAGCGAGGACGCTGTGCCTGAAGGGGGGAGAATGTAACGACCCGGTCCGACGAGGGCGGGGAGTGGTCGTCAGGGCCGGTAGATTATGGCCTAAGCAAGGAGCGGCATCTGGCAAGCTTCTAGGATGGCAAAGGGGGGCATGTCTCTTGTCCCACATCGCCTAGGAGGGGAGTCCTGGGCTAGTTTATAAGGCTTGGGGTTTTATATCTGTGTAACGCGTTTTAAAGCCGTGAGGGTCAGTGGACTCAAAGCGGACAATATTACACAGTGTAAACCTGGGGTGTTACACATTGTTTGTTCAAACTCAAGTTATACTCATTTGTTTGTTCGGACTTAGAAATACTCATATATTTGTCCAGACTCTGAATATACCCATTATTTGTTCAGACTTAGAATATACTTATTTGTTTGTTCAGACTCAGAAATATTCATTTGTTTGTCCGGACTCTGAACATACCTATTGTTAGTTCAGGCTCAGAATATATTCATTTGTTTGTTGAGACTCTTAAATACTAATTTGTCTGTGCAGATTCATAATATACACATTATTTGTTCAGATTCAAAATACACTTATTTGTTTGTTCAAACTCAGAATTACTCATTCGTTTGTCCAAATTCAAAATATACTCATTGGTTGTTCAGACTCAGAATATACTCATTTGTTTGTTCAAACTTAGAAATACTCATTTATTTGTCTAGCTCGTTGCCGCGGCGGTGAGGGCCGCGACGCCCTTGCCGGCCCTGGCCTGTGATCGGTCGCTGGCGCCGGCGACCAGCCATGGCCAAGGAAGGGAAGGGAAAGAAAAAAAAAAGAAAAAAAAGGAAAAAACAGTAAGAAATATTAAGAAAATTCAAAATATTGTTAAAGTATTATTAATAAAAAGAAATTTTGTATAGTTATCATACGCATTGCTGTTCTTTTTCTATTCTAAGATTAGAAATTTTGAGCAGTTACCAAACGCCTTCAAATGCTTAGAAATTGTTCCCGGACACGGAATAAAAAAGAATCATTTTTTAGCAGAATCAGTTCCCGATTACATAATCGTTGCCATGCGCACCCTAATTAACTAGTTTTCAATGAGCGTAATGAGAGAGGTTTGATGCATTCCACATATCTCATTGCTAGACCTGTCAAAATGAATCATACATCCATTTCTTAACCCATATTTGATGGGTTGGGTTATTAAATGAGTTAGTTATATTCAGTAAATGGGTTTAAAATGGTAAAGCCAAAAACAATATGGGTGTTAATTGGGTCCTCAACTCATTAGATCCAGCCCACCTCTATGACTCTTTTTTGCCCGTACTTGATCTCACGCTCGCTCACTCCATGATCTCACCTTAGTTTGAGTATGAGTTTTTTTAGATTAGTATAAATATGGAAGTGTTTTAGCAATATGGGTCAGGTTGAGTATGAGTTGGGTATTGTTTGGGTCGGATATGGGTCACTAAATTTGTATTACATGGAAATGGGTCAAAACAGATTAAGTAGGTCAATTTGGGTTAGACCATTTTCGATCCGATCCACCCATTTGATGGGTCTATTCATCGCCCACTCTTTATAAGAGGAAAGAGTAAGGAAGGAAGAAAGGAAATTGATCTATCAATCAAATTTGAATTCACCAGGAGCGTGTAAAGGTCCAAATAGATTTTAGTCCGTGTGATAAGATTCTTACTCGATACTTTTTTTGAGAGAGAGAGAGAGGGGGGAAATGAGTCACATGACTAGCGTGGTGGCTAGAATCAAAGTTTTATTATATTCGCAACTTTAATGTGACAAAGAGGGCACGACATAAACAGTAAATCAACGTGTACTCAGACTGCTTTAAGAACACCCCACGTTCCCACCGGTGCTATTACTAAATACATGATCTAAGAAGAACAAATACATCAGGATAGCAAAACACGAGGAACACTACATACATATATACACCCATATTGTGAACCAGATTAAACAAAATAGAGATCCGCTTGTTGGGCGGTCTGTTCACATTGGTGGTTGAAAAGGATAGGTGAAGAAAGATTATATTTGTTTAAATTTTGTAATTCTATCTAATATTCAAGGCATCTTTTGTAATCCTCGTTCTGGGATATGAGAGCATAAAAAATTACTACATACGAACGGCTTAGCATAACACCACAATTTACTATTTCAAACTTCAAAGCAAATGCCAAATATCCAGTGCTCGATCGTGATCAGGGCAGCTAAATTGGCTAGACATCTTGCCAGGTTTCTCTCGCCATAGTAAAGACGTAGTTCCTATTTCACGAAAGACGTACTGGAACGAAATCATTGATTATCAGAACGTGCAACTAAAAATGACTAGATAAAAGCTAGACATGGAGAGCCTATTTATTTAGTGGTAACTTGCCCATCAACATGTTTCTCATTCTTCTACTGCTTCATGTGAATTCGTAGACCTCATTAGGCAATCTTGGGGCGAGCATAACTTCAAGCGGCGTCGCCTTGTCAACCGTTATTCCGAAACCCTCTGACATATCCACTTGTGAATCATCAAGAGTTGATACCTCGAATGCATGCAGAAACCTAGCGAGTATAGAAAGCATCGATTGAAGGCCAAAGGATATTCCAGGGCAAATTCTTCTACCACCTGCAAATGGCAAGTACTCAAATTTTGGGCCCTTCATGTCAGCATCCTCATGACTACTCAAGAACCTCTCAGGCCTAAACTTCATTGGTTCAGGCCATGCTCTTGGATCGGTTTGAATTTTCCATAAGTTGATGATCAACCTTGTGCCTTTGGGCACATAGTAACCGTTGATGATGCAATCTTCAGTTGATACATGTGGTGCCCCGAGTGGGGCTGGCGGGTGTAATCGGAGAGTCTCCTTCACTACGGCATGTAGGTAAGTTAGGTTGGAAATGTCTGATTCTTTCACATGTCTTTGTTTACCAATTTGAGCGTCTAGTGCTCCTTGAGTCTTCTTTAGAACCTGAAGGTTGTTTAGCAACAAAGAGACTGCCCATGTTAGGGTGGTTGCGGTAGTATCCGTAGCAGCCGCTATAATCGCCTTCAAAGAAGAAATACATATTATTTTAGGAGTGAAATATGAAGACAAAATAGACCAAATCACAAAACTGTCAAAATAAAAGTGCATGTCTACTCGTTTGTCGTCAATTCTCCAGCGCAGTAGAAGCAAATGTATGAACACATACAAAAATCCAAAAAATGTACGAAGGCGCAAATGCAATAAAATTCTCTCATAAATATGTCATTTATCAAAAGGATAAGCTACATTATAAGGAAAAACAATTCATATTTGTATCAAAAGCAAAAACGTAAAGAAATTTTAATGATAAACTAAATAGAGATTATATCCTATTAAATCTTAATTCTAAATGATAACTACTAAAACTTGAAACTAATCACCTAATATAGACAAGGAAATAAAAAAAATGTAGAACCCTTAAAAATATATGCCCGCGTCACTCTGCAAGTGATAAATCGGATTTCCTTTGGCCCATAACTTGTACAATTATAGAAGAGACTTGGATATTGTTTTATAAAATAGAAGTACAAAAATATTGCTCAAGTATAACAACAACACATAAATTGTACATTCATTAGAAAACTTGCTAGCTGATATAAAAGGTCCATCAGAGCGGTGTGTGTTAATCATCACCTTGTAATCTTGATCATTGTAGTAGTAATACAAACAAGGTGCACTAGAAATCCGATATTCATCTTATAAAATTTCTGATATGGAGCCTTAGTTCAATATATTAAGTAGAACCTGTTTTCGCTCAAAAACTTATGTTAATGAGTTATATACCATCTTAATATATACTAACTACTCCACATCATATTAATTGTGTTGGGAAAAATGTTCACGTGAAACAGAATGCGAAGAAAATGAAATCAGATTTTGAGGCGTGGTAACACTCTCTTTAAGGAATTATTTGTCCCATAACGTTGCTAATGATTGCTAGCAAAAATCCTCTATGATACAATAAAGTCTCGAATGAGAATACCAGATAGCAATTATAGTATTTCTCCATGATCTCTCAAGGGAAACAATTGGAAAAGATTATTGTATTGTTTTGAGAATGTAGTATCGAAAGTAAGTGAAAACAGACTGAGAAAATATGAATATATACTACAGTCTTTTTGAAACGAATGCAACCTTTTGGAAGAAGTTGCATTGTCAAAAGATGCCTTCTCAAAAGACATAATAAAAATTCGGATTAAAACAATAATAAAATAAAATATTATTTTTATTATTTTTTATTATTCCGAATTTTATAAATTCTGAAAAATTAATCTTTGAACAAGTACAACCTTTCAAAGATGTAGGAGTTATGTTCGAAAAGACAGAATCTTCCAAAGGTGAAGTAGTTATATTCGAAAGAACACAATTCTTCCAAAGGTTGTAAAAATGTCTAATAACCGTTAGGCAAAATAATAAATTTCGAATTAATTAATAAAAAAATAACCGCAACTTTATTGTGAACAGTCACACTGTTTCAATAGGGTAAAACCGTTATTTTATAATAATAAATTCGAAATTTAATAAATAATAAATAATAAACGAGGATTAGTGCTAATTATCATCCGCAAGCGCACTAAGTGCTAAGTGCTAAGTGCGCCAAATTATCATGCCAAAAACGCGTATCCGCACACGAGTATTATGTGATCTAGCCTTAGCCCATCGTCTTCAATTGAACAAGTTAGAAGACATCCACACTAATAAAGTGGCCCACACAATCAAAACTTTCTTATGTGAGACAGGGAAAAGCACTATTTTATTTGTTTAATAGCCAACAAATTGTCCCACTAAATGCAATATGTTTGGATTTGATGAACCATTGAATTCAACGGGACCTATTGGATTCTGGAGTGCAAATATACTTTCCTAATTAACCTAATCGGCCGCCCCTTCTCTTCTCCTCCCTCAAAATCTGCCCCATTTTCTCTTTTAAAATTCCGTACCCTCCATGAATTTCTACCAGAAATTGAAATGAATTGATAACAAAGCCATCACATTGTACATATAGCTCAATCGATTTCTGCAGTGTAAAGTGCGCATCCACTTTATGACATGTTGCGGTGACACCATCTATTTAATTAATACCTTTTAGTTTGCATAAGTTATATGACAATTACAACAAATAGGTTCATCTAATTGAATAAGCAACACCATGTTCCATGAGTGTCATGATATATGCGTCATGTAAAGAAGACTTCTCCTAAAAGTGGTGAAACAGATCAAAGTCCCAGCATATTCAACGACTGTTCACTAGTACTAGAGGTGGTAAATGGGTCAAGAACCCACTTATTAACCCATATATAATGATTGTGGGTTATTAATGGGTTGGCCTATTAACTTAAAGGGTATTAAATGGGTCACAAATGAGTTACCCAACAAGTTTAAGTGAATAATTAACGTGTTATTTTCTTTTTTTTTTAATTTTCTGATTTTAAAATTTTAAAATTTTCTTTTTCTTTTTTTTAAAATTTCTGATTTTAAAATTTTAAAATTTTCTTTTTTTTCTTTTTCTTTTTCTTTTCTTTTATCTTCTTCCCCGCTGGTGGCCGGCCACGGCGACGGTCGGCCGCCGGCCACAGGCGAGGGACGAGCTTGCCAGAGGCTGGCAGGCCTTGAGCTCACCAATCTAGCAAGCCTCGGGCCTCGTCGATCTGGCGAGACTCGAGCTCACCGATCTAGCAAGGCCAAGGCTAACCGGCCTCCAGCAAGCTCAAGTCTCGCCATATCGGCGAGGCCCAAGGCTCGCTAGAGGCTGGCAAGGCCCGAAGCTCGCCAGATCGGCAAGCTTAAGCTTTGCTGGCCTCCAGTGAGCTCGTCCCTCGCCTGTGGCACGCCACCGGCAGGGAAGAAGAAAAAATAAAAAAAGAAAAGGAAAAAGGAAAAGAAAAAAAACAAAGAAACGAAAAATAATTAAAATATGATTTTTTTAAATAAAAATAAAAAAATTCAAAAAAAACATCTTCATTTTCCTGAAAACATTTCTAGAAATGTCATATTTTCCGCGAAACAAACAAAGTCTCAATTTTTTTAAAAAATATATAAAAATTGTCCACTAAATTTATATTGCATGAAAATGTTTTAGCAATACAATTTTTTTAAATAATTATCAGAAATAAGCTTTCCTATATATAATTAAATAGGTCGGGTCAGGTATGGGTTGGATATGGATCGGATCGGGTATGGATCGAGAAATTTTCCTTGCGATAAATGGGTTATAAACGGGTTAAATGGGTCAAGTTAGATTGAACCATTTATGACCCGACTCAAACCCGACTCGACCCACCCGTTTAACAAGTCTAACTAGTACATGCAGATTAACGAAAAATGATAAGGTTAAGAGTGAAACTTTGTCCTAATGCAAAATAATGCAAGCATGAGTTATGCATACACTATGCATTTGGAGTAGAAAGCAGTAATTTCAAGAGTGGGAAAACAAGGCGTACCAAGCATGTAGCTTTGATGATTGTATCAGCGTCGAAACCTCCGATTTCCATGCCATTGAGGGTCGAAAGCATGACGTCCATGAAATCTCGATCACCCTTGTCCTCACTCAAATTTTTGCTATTCCTTTTGTGCTCCTCTAACCAACCACTTAGGATTTTGTCCAATTCTTTGGCGGTCCTCTTCATGGATTTCTCATGGCCACCGAAGTCCAACCATCTCAAGAAAGGAAGAGCATCCGCCACCGGAAAAACCGCTACGAGTACAAAGAATTCCCTCAAGGCATGGTGCCACTGCCGCCTCTCTTCCTCATCAACAGTGGCAATGCCACTGTAATAGCCCTTACCGGCTACAACTTTAAGGACAATGTTCATAGACAACCTTGCAAACCACTGCTTCAAGTCAACTAAGATATGGCCTGTAGTAATGACAGGTATAGCGTTAGACTTTTTAAATCAAAAACACATTTCTATGTTTACCGTAGCACATAATCACTTTACGGAATTTGCTTGGCTTGGCTTGGCTAGGCTTGTTTCTCTACACTAGTACTTGAATCGTTTCGTAGAAATATTTTCTTCTCCAATTTGAGCCGATAACTATGATAGGATGGGTCACACCACCATATAAAAGGGAAAATAAAGCATTCTAAACTTACTTTATATACATGAAAGTACCTGAATCATTCTTCTTCTCAGTCCAAAGCATGTGCAACTCTTTAATGGCGATATCTGTCGCTGAGGCCACTATGGGGCTGAGCAACGACTCAATCCTCCGGTTAGAGAGCAGTTCCAAGGTGGCGATTTTCCTCACTTCGCGCCAATACGGACCATAAGGAGCCAACGCCACCATGGCATAATTGTAGCCCATAATTTCAGTGGCTAATAGCTGAGGACGAGACGCAAGGGCAAGGTCATGCTTGGTGAAACATTCTTTGGCTATCTCAGAACTGCTAACCACTACAGTCGGGAACAACCCGAGCCTAATGGTGAAGATCGGTCCATACTCATCTGCCATGGATGCGAAGGTCTTGTGAGGAAGATGGGATTTTGCTAGTATGGGCAAATGCCCAACGACAGGCCATGCACCTGCAACTTCTGGTGGTGTTTTGAGTTTGCGAGATGAGCTCGATTTGAAAAGTGCAAGGATTGATAGGATGAGGATGGCTAGGATCACTCCATTCAAGTGGCTGAAGTTCAGGTCTTGAAGCAGAGGGTCCATTTGCAATAGGTTCATCATTGAGTTGTGTGTTGGTATTTTTGAAAGAAGAGTATATGATTTATACACCTTCTCCTCCTAGGATTATTGATTACTTCCATAAAGTACAATTAATTACAAATTAGGTGCCAATTGTGCTTAAGATGTCGCAAAGCCACGGAGGATTGTTGATTACTCCCTGAGTGCCAAGAGAAAAGCACGTCCCACGTGTTATGAAAAAACAATTCCTACATGAGTTGGAGCAATTGGACTGGCGTTCCAGAGAGCTCGGGGACCAATAAAAGATGCTTCGTAATCCATTGGGAAAGGAGAAGAATGGGTACAAGTCTTTGTGGTTGTGCTGGACTGGCCACTTGATCTGCAGACAAATTGCTGGAAAAAGATAAGAGCTCAGGTTCAATGCAGAGAGAGAGAGAGAGAATAATGTAACATGGGGTGGAAGACATAAACTAATCAAAAGAGCACATGGGCACTGAGTCAAATATGGCGGGATAAAGTATAAACAGGAGATTGTAATGTTCTGATAGATAGCTCCCTCACAGTTTGAGAACTCTGTATTCTACCGCTAAAAACTTTATCACTAAAATAGTTGAATGTGGCAAACGAGGCATGACTAAAAAAATGAGGCGGGCTGGTTTTGTCTTGTGGGTGATTCCCCTGTTTATTTCTTTGTTAATTTATTTTCACTGTCTCTCTGATTTCTTGTCTAGTCTGGACAAATTCAACTTTTTTATTCAAATTATTGATAATTAATAAACATAAAATTCGGAAAACTAGTAAGATCAACTCAGAAACCTAATGACAGAAGTAAAGAAGTATGTAGAGTCCACCGACCAAGTACTTTTTTTGGGCTAAAGTTACGGTGTCATTTGAAAAACACAGAATTATATCAGAGATAGTATCAATCGCTACATCAATTTTACGCCCATGTAATTAGGATTGGTACGGACCACCTTATATACGCTATCGATTTGTCATGATGACAAAAGTAGTATCTATACTTAGGTCTTTATTTAAATAATCGATCACTTACAGTAATTGCACAATCTTATTGTCGCGACCTTTCCAAAGGTGAATCATCCAAGGGAAAGCAAAAGGATTACTAAGCTTACACTTAGCTCGGACTCTCCCAAACTCTACCAATCACAACTTTGTGCTTTTGATTTGATCAATTTAATATGTGTTGATACTTGATTTTTAGCTCATTTTTTTCATATTTTCAAAAACCTCAAAATTAGGACTAGGAATCTTGGCAAAGCCTAGAAACCTATTTCTAAACCAAAAAATATTTTTTTAGCATTTTCCTGCATTTTTCCTTAATTTCTTTTAGTTAAAATAAGTAAGAAAATCAAGAAAAATAGCAAATGGAATCAGAAAATTCCATAAAAATAGTCATTAGTCTTCTTTTAAATCCAATTTCATTAATACATCATTAATTTTGAAAATTATCAATCAGGTATATGATTTTCCTAAAATTAGGCAAAATCAAACCCAAATTGAACCAAAAATGCAATTAAATCTTTTCTAGTCATTTTTAAGTCATAGTGTCTTCACAACAAATGATTCTGGGACCTTGAATTACATAATGGTAGGTCCAATTGCACAATTTGTCAAAGAAATCAGAAAACCCCAAAATTCAATTGAAAATTAATAATTTTGAGCCCAAATTGGGAATCGTGCCCAATATGAAATTGTCGAACCACGAGACCATCATTTCTAGGGTTAATCAGATATGGGTAATTCAATTTTGGCATCAATTTTGCCTAATCAAGTCATTAGGATATCAAATTGAACAAAACCCTAATAACCCGAATGCAAAAATGTGAAAATCTTGGACATGATTATAACAAAAATTAGGGAAAATCACATATTTGGGTTCGGAATGTGATGAGGAATTCAATTTTGGGGTTTAATTTTGAAAATTGGGTCAAAATTGAGCTTAATTGGCGAATTGAGACCAACCCGAGTCTGCCGGGTCGACCGGGTCAACCCGACTCGACCCGGGTCGATCACCTTCTTCGGCCGACTCACCCAAGTCACAATAAAACCTAGAAAAAATTGAATCAAACCCATGCCTTTGCCAACTTATTTTGGGCAATTGAACACGTGAAAATTGAAATAGCTAGCTGGAGAATCTCCAGTTGGCACCAAAGATTCGATCTAACCGATTCTAAGTCGGTTTCTAACCGAATTTGGGCGGGAATTTTGATGAACAAAAAGCTGGAAAAACTGAACATTGAAGAGAGGAGGTGTTCGATGAAATGCCAGAGAGAGAGAGATGAGAGAAAAACATAGGAAAAAGAGAGAAAGCTAGAGAGAGAAGAGGTTAGAGGTCCCCTACTTAAGCGATCAGCGCCACCCTTAGACGGCGGAGCGCCGGCAAATCAGGGTCTGGTTGTGATCTCCCTTATGGCAATTGGTTCGGTTCAGTCAACCACGAAGCTCTGAAAACGAGCTTCGTCCGGTGTGCTGAGAGATACTTCGGCGAATCTGAAGCTACTAGGGTGAAGATCAAGTGTCAAAGAACAACTCTAGAGTCTCGGATCAGCTCATCAATTCCTCCTGATCATCGAATGAAGAAGGTAAAGTTGGCTCATAGTCATTTTTTTCAAAATTTCCTAGAATTCAGTTCCAATCCCAATATGAATGTTTATGTGATTTCGTCGATGAATCTTGGCATTTTGATGTTCAAAACTAGTTTCTAATCATTTTTGGTATTGTTTGATTGCATTTCGGACATTAAAAACACATAAACCGAGTCGGTCAACCATTGAAACCTCCTCGCCGGAGCTCGGATACTCTCGCCGGAGCATTGCCGTGGCCGTAGGTGTTGACACCTGATTTTTAGCTCATTTTTTTCATATTTTCAAAAATCTCAAAATTAGGACTAGGAATCTTGGCCAAGCCTAGAAACCTATTTCTAAAACTAAAAAATAATTTTTTAACATTTTCCTGCATTTTTCCTTAATTTCTTTTAGTCAAAATAAGTAAGAAAATAAAAAAAATAGCAAATGGAATCAGAAAATTCCATAAAAATAGTCATTAGTCTTATTTTAAATACAATCTCATGAATGCATCATCAATTTTGAAAAATCTCAATCGGGTGTATGTTTTTTTCCCAAAATTGGGCAAAATTAAACCCGAATTGAACAAAAAATGCAATTAAATTTTTTCTAGTCATTTTTAAGTCATAGTATCTTCACAACAAATGATTCTAAGACCTTGAATTGCATAATGGTCATTCCAATTGCACAATTTGACATAAAAATCAAAAATCCCCAAAATTTAATTGAAAAATAAGAATTTTGAACCCAAATTAGGAATCGTGCCCAATATGAAATTGTCGAACCATGAGTCTATTATTCCTAGGGTTAATAAGATGTGGGTAATTCAATTTTGACATCAATTTTGCCTAATCAGGTCATTAGGACATCAAATTGAATAAAAACCTATTAGCCCGAATACAAAAATGAGGAAATCTTAAACACAATCATGACAAAAATTGGAGAAAATTATATATTTGGGTTCGGAATGTGATGGGGAATTCAATTTTGGGGTTTAATTTTGAAAATTGGGTCAAAATTGAGCTTAATTGGTGAATTTAGACCAACCCGGGTCTGCCGGGTCGGCCGGGTCAACCCGACCCAAACCGGGTGAGTTGTCTTCCTTACCCGACTCACCCAAGCCACACTAAACCCAGAAAAAAAACCATTTCAAGCCCGCAATTTCAACAATCATTTCTGGCTAATTTGGCATGTGAAAATCGACTGGGCCAGCTAGAAAATCTCCGGCTGGCACTAGTGAACCGATCTAACCAATCAGAAATCGGTTCTAACCGATTTTGGGCGGGAATTTTTTATCAACAAAAAACAAGAAAAAACTGAACATTGCAAGGAGGGTATTCGACGGATTGCCGAAGAGAGAGAGAGAGAGAGAGAGAGAGAGAGAGAGAGAGAGAACCAGAGAGAGAAATAGCTTGAGGAGTGGGTTGAGACTCCCTAAGGCCGAGTGATCGGCGCCTTTCCGATCGAAAAGTGCCGGCAAATTGGTCTCGTCGGTGAGTTTCCTCACCGGCGAACCAAAAGCGAAGTTGATTGTCAAGGCCTGGAAAGGTGCTTCGGTAGATCAATCCAGGAACTCTCCAGCGCAGTGGAGACCACCGTTCGATAGTCCAGGTGTTGTAGAACATCCTCACAGCCACAGATCAGATCGGGAGAATCATTTGGTCCACTTCCGAAACATGTAAAGTTCGGTCTTCAACATTATTTTTCCAGAAATTCCAGAAAAATGAAGATGAAATTGATATGGTTAAATCGGTGATTTCTTTGTTGATCTTGAGTGCCTTGATGTCGAAAACCAGTTTCTGACTATTTTTGGTGTTGTTTGATTGCATTTCAGGCATTAAAAATGCATAAACCGAGTCGGCCACCCCCATGAACCATCTCGCCGTAGCTCAGATGACGTTGTCGGAGCATCACCATGGCCATAGGCCTATCAAGTTAGCCTCTTTCAACCTTGTTTGATACTTTGTTAGTGATTAGAATTGAGTTAAACGGCTAAGGCGTGCAATATTGTGATTTGAAGGTTAGGTTAGTTAGTTTAGAATTGTTGCGAGATAGGTTTTCTGATCGGGTTTTTCACCGGCCGATGAATGACCGTCGGCGTCCTGAGTAGGTCAGATTAATAATAGAACAAGTGGACTTTGCAATGAACTAATCGGAATGGCAAAATACTCACCGGAAGGTCGCCGGAGATGGTTTTGAACCGGCAGCCTCGAAAATGCTCAATGCAGAAATGTGCACACCAGGTGTTCGGGGAAATGCCCCAATGAAAAAGTTCTAAAATGGTGCCGTTTTGGGCACCGTATCCGCCGGAGAAGACAACCGGCGCCGGCGCCGTTGACACTCGGTTCGGCCAAGCCGAACCGGGTTGAACCGGTCCGGTCCAGTTCATTTTCCGAGCGGGAATTTTGAAAAATAAATAAATAATAAAAAAATCTTAAA